TAATATATATATATATATATATATATATATATATTATATATATATAATAAAATTCTAATAAATAAGTAGAACTCTGCCACGTGTCAATCTATAAGACCTACAAAATAGAGTTTCCCGCTCATTTTATTCATCTATATTTACGTAAATGCCATACAATCCAAATTCAATAATTCCGGAAAAATCTGCAAACAAATATGTTAATCAATCTTCAGATTCGAAAAACACGCATTAATTTTGAAAGTTTGTTTATTTTGATTGCAAATTAAATCCCTAAAAATCTGCAATATTATTCTTTTTCAAACGTAATCTTCTTAATTCTTATTCTTATTTATTCAAACGTAAATAGCATTCATACGGTTATTTTCTTTTTACCATTCTGCTCCAGACGAATTCTGCTCCATAGTAATATTTGCAAACGTATTCTTCTTCATTCTTCTTGATTCTGCAACGCTTCAAAAATTATAATATCAGGTTAGTGTATTAAAATATCAGCATTACTAATATTTCTAACCTCTTAATTGTCTGATTTACCAGTTTCTATCATTTTTCATTTTATTAGTGATGTTCTTCTTCTTCCTTTTGCTAATTCTTCTTAATCATGTTCTTCTTCTACCTTTTCAGTTTAAAAGACGTAAATGTTAATGAAAATGATTACAAAATACGAAATTAGTAATAAAAATGAGAACTTTATTTTCTTTAAAAAAAAACTGTTCTTCAAAGCTTTAACTATTACAATATGTTTTTTTTGTTTTGCTGTTTCATTTACTTTGATTTGCTGTTAATTTAAAAGGTTGCTAATTTTCCTTACAATTCTATAATGATTAAATTTATTGCAGAAAATGGAATTCATATGCGAACCCAACTGATTGGCAATATGGTCATTAAATTTATTCTATAAAATCAAAACTTATCTGTTTTCATATGCGAACCCAACTGATTGGCTTTTCAAAATCAAATTCGCAACTCCAAATCGTTCGATTATTCGCCCCAATTCCAAAATCAAATAACAGATCCTTCGTATGATTCATTTAATAACCAAGGCTTCTTTTACTTCAAAATGACCATATTGCCCCTAACTTGATAAGTATTTCATATATCGCAATTAACAATTAAGACAAATCAATCAATCAATCAATTTGTATAATAAAAATGCGAAATTCTTAGCTTTCTTCCCCAATTCGCATTCTACTGTAAAATTCACATTCTTCATTCACCCTCTTTCTTCGCATGTTCCAGTCATTTTTTTTTTAGTTCATTCGCATTTGAGTTGTTTGTCTCACCAAATACGAAATGAATATTAACCATAATCACCTTCGCATCTTTAACCCCAATCCATACAACCTCATATGCGAAACCCAATTTTGATTTGTATTACCAAATGCGAACATTTTTGCTTTTACACGTGAACTGCATTTGACTCCAATATGCGAACATCTTTAACCCCAATCCATACAACCTCAAAGCTTTAACTATTACAATATGTTTTTTTTGTTTTGCTGTTTCATTTACTTTGATTTGCTGTTAATTTAAAAGGTTGCTAATTTTCCTTACAATTCTATAATGATTAAATTTATTGCAGAAAATGGAAATAGGAAATAAGGTTTACCTAAATAACATTGACCAGATAGATGAAAAATCGCATATCAAGGTTCGGGTGCTTAAAATTTGGAACTTTGTCAGAAATAATAAAGTTTGTTCCATTGAAATGATCATCATGGATGAGGAGGTTTGTTGTATTTGATATATTTTTTATTCATCATTCAATATTAGACATGTTTCATGAACATAATAATTTTTAATTTTTTTTTAAACAGGGTACACAATACCAAGCTCGTGTCTTCAATCAGAATTTCTCCAGATTTCGTCATCTTTTAAAGGAAGATGAAAGTTATATAGTTATAAAACCCAATATGGCTGCTGTTACTAATGGTTTTAGTTATACAGGTCATAAACAGACCTTAACTTTGGATTGGAAAAGCATCCTAAAAAAATGTGATGATTTCTCGGGTCCGGTCAATGGATTTATGTTTGTTGACTTTAATTCTATCATAGAACAAACATGCCCAAAAGACACATTCTTTGGTTAGTCATAAAATATTAATAAAATCATTTTTTATCATTTGTTTTTTTGGTTATACATTTTATTATTTAAATATTACGAATTTAATCCTAAACTTTTATTTTTTTGTGGTATCTGTTGTGTAGATGTTATTGGACATATCGTGTCATTTAGGCCTCTTGAAACTTCAAATCCAGTACCATCCAAGCATTATATAAAAGTCACTCTTAGCAACCTAGAGTGAGATTATATTGTATTATTTATTTATTATTTATTATCTTTAATTAATCACAAATTAATATTAATATACTATTTTATGGTTTATTTAGTTCTGTACATCTGAAGGTTACTATTTTTGGAAGTCAAGCATATCAAATTTCAGAATACCTAAAAAATAACCCGACTGTTAATTTTGTTGTTATCGTGATGCAGTTTTTGAAGCTAAACATTTGGAATGGTTTGTATTCAGTCTTTATATATAGATGTTTATAATTACTGTTTTTATATAAATTTTAATAATTGGATATACATTTTTTACAGGTCTTGGTGAAGCTAAAAGTCATTTTGAAGTAACGAAATTGTTCATAAATTCTGACATTTATGAAATAAATGAGTTTAAAAATAAGTTAGTTTCCAATTGTTTTTTATTTTTTTATAATGTATTTTAACTTAAAAAAAACACAAAACCTAATATTCATGAATCTAAATTAAACATTACAGGTTGAAATGTCATGACAATTTCGGTATAACTGAAAAAAGCATAACTACACTTCAAAGCTACTCTTCTTCATATACAGATGACTTTAAGGGCAATTTTCCATTAAAAACAATCTGTGAGATCACCGAACCAATTAAGGTATATTGCATTATTTTATATGTTTTACATTTTATTTTTGCATAATTTATTTTAATAATTTTTACATTTTATATGATACAGGAAATGAAGTTTTTATTAGTTGCTTCCATTGTTAATATAAGGCAGAATCTACCATGGTATTATGAAGCATGCAAAAAATGTGGAAAAAAAATTATCCCTGTTCCCAAAACCAATCATTCGTATACCAACCCTGAGGGAATTTCAGAAACTATGGTTGTCGAGTGTACAAATGCACAATGCAAAAAATCTGAATTTCAGTCAGTTATAAAGTATAGACATATTTATTTCTATTAATTTTGTCAATCTTAAAACAACACTAACAATGACATAATTATTTTTTGTTTTAGGTATATAATTCCAATTAACGTACAAGATTGTACTGGAACCATTGGATTGACTCTTTTTGATAGGGAAGCAAGGAGGTTGTTAAATATAAGTGCCTACGAGTTGAAAAAGATACATGATGCGGTATATTATTCATACCTTTAAAATCAGAAAACATTTACTTAATTTTTTTAATTTATTAAAATATATCTTACAGGCCGGAGACAGTGATGCCCTATTTCCAATGCAACTTAATGTGTTGAAAAACCGCAAGTTTGGTTTTGTTGTAGATATTACAGAATACAATGTCAACAACTATAATAACATCTACACAGTTCTCAGAGTTACAGAAGATATGTCCATTGTTTGTGAATTGGAAAGTAAAATAGAACTTATGGTATGTAATTTTTTATTGTTGAAAATTTACAATTCTTTAATGTTAAAGTACATAACGATTAACATATTTCCATTTTATTTTTTAGAGTAATCAATCTGTCTCCTTAAATCAAGTTGCTTTGGAATCCGATGATGTTGTACAGCCTGTTCAAAAGGTTTTTCATTTTATTTTATAAACTTTTAATTATATTAGTTATTTTTTTTAGGAATCAAACATTTTTTTTTAAAATTAGGATGTGATCTCACAAACAGACGAAAGTTTTACACCCTCAACAGTTGATAAGTCAACCGCAACAAGTCCTTGCAAAATATCAGGTGATTTGAAGCGCAACCTCCAAGAAATTTATGATGTTGATTCTGGATATGATTTAAGTTCAACTAAGGCTAAAAGAAAGTCAACCGCAGAGGAAACTCCACTCTTGATTCCAAAAATTGAAAAGTGAGTTTCTATCGGTTATAAGACACATTTAATATATTTTGATCATTTGTTTTGGTTATAAAGATATTTTAATTGCTTGGTATGATTTTTATTTTGGGGTATTTAGGATGTCAAATATTATTGGTTTTGAATATTTTTGGATACTTTTATTGTTTTAAATTGGACAAGTTAGTTGATTTTGGTTATAACTCAAATAAAATATATTGCCCCTAACTTGATAAGTATTTCATATATCGCAATTAACAATTAAGACAAATCAATCAATCAATCAATTTGTATAATAAAAATGCGAAATTCTTAGCTTTCTTCCCCAATTCGCATTCTACTGTAAAATTCACATTCTTCATTCACCCTCTTTCTTCGCATGTTCCAGTCATTTTTTTTTAGTTCATTCGCATTTGAGTTGTTTGTCTCACCAAATACGAAATGAATATTAACCATAATCACCTTCGCATCTTTAACCCCAATCCATACAACCTCATATGCGAAACCCAATTTTGATTTGTATTACCAAATGCGAACATTTTTGCTTTTACACGTGAACTGCATTTGACTCCAATATTGAACAAATCACATTTCACAGTCCTTCTTGACTTCGCATTTTTCTTCACGAATCGTCCCTCAATCAATAACCCAATTAACCCAATTGCGAATCCAAAATCAAAACTTATCTGTTTTCATATGCGAACCCAACTGATTGGCTTTTCAAAATCAAATTCGCAACTCCAAATCGTTCGATTATTCGCCCCAATTCCAAAATCAAATAACAGATCCTTCGTATGATTCATTTAATAACCAAGGCTTCTTTTACTTCAAAATGACCATATTGCCCCTAACTTGATAAGTATTTCATATATCGCAATTAACAATTAAGACAAATCAATCAATCAATCAATTTGTATAATAAAAATGCGAAATTCTTAGCTTTCTTCCCCAATTCGCATTCTACTGTAAAATTCACATTCTTCATTCACCCTCTTTCTTCGCATGTTCCAGTCATTTTTTTTTAGTTCATTCGCATTTGAGTTGTTTGTCTCACCAAATGCGAAATGAATATTAACCATAATCACCTTCGCATCTTTAACCCCAATCCATACAACCTCATATGCGAAACCCAATTTTGATTTGTATTACCAAATGCGAACATTTTTGCTTTTACACGTGAACTGCATTTGACTCCAATATTGAACAAATCACATTTCACAGTCCTTCTTGACTTCGCATTTTTCTTCACGAATCGTCCCTCAATCAATAACCCAATTAACCCAATTGCTAATCCAAAATCAAAACTTATCTGTTTTCATATGCGAACCCAACTGATTGGCTTTTCAAAATCAAATTCGCAACTCCAAATCGTTCGATTATTCGCCCCAATTCCAAAATCAAATAACAGATCCTTCGTATGATTCATTTAATAACCAAGGCTTCTTTTACTTCAAAATGACCATATTGCCCCTAACTTGATAAGTATTTCATATATCGCAATTAACAATTAAGACAAATCAATCAATCAATCAATTTGTATAATAAAAATGCGAAATTCTTAGCTTTCTTCCCCAATTCGCATTCTACTGTAAAATTCACATTCTTCATTCACCCTCTTTCTTCGCATGTTCCAGTCATTTTTTTTTAGTTCATTCGCATTTGAGTTGTTTGTCTCACCAAATACGAAATGAATATTAACCATAATCACCTTCGCATCTTTAACCCCAATCCATACAACCTCATATGCGAAACCCAATTTTGATTTGTATTACCAAATGCGAACATTTTTGCTTTTACACGTGAACTGCATTTGACTCCAATATTGAACAAATCACATTTCACAGTCCTTCTTGACTTCGCATTTTTCTTCACGAATCGTCCCTCAATCAATAAACCCAATTAACCCAATTGCTAATCCAAAATCAAAACTTATCTGTTTCATATGCGAACCCAACTGATTGGCTTTTCAAAATCAAATTCGCAACTCCAAATGGTTCATTATTCGCCCAATTCCAAAATCAAATAACAGATCCTTCGTATGATTCATTTAATAACCAAGGCTTCTTTTACTTCAAAATGACCATATTGCCCCTAACTTGTAAGTATTCATATATTCGCAATTAACAATTAAGACAAATCAATCAATCAATCAAGAAAAATGCGAATATCTTAGCTTTCTTCCCAATTCGCATTCTACTGTAAAATTCACATTCTTCATTCACCTCTTTCTTCGCATGTTCCAGTATTTTTTTTTAGTTCATTTTTTTTTACTTCATTCGCATTTGAGTTGTTTGTCTCACCAAATACGAAATGAATATTAACCATAATCACCTTCGTATCTTTAACCCCAATCCATACAACCTCATATGCGAAACCCAATTTTGATTTGTATTACCAAATGCGAACATTTTTGCTTTTACACGTGAACTGCATTTGACTCCAATAATGAATATTAACCATAATCACCTTCGCATCTTTATGTTGATTATTTTAAACATGGAACATTTATGTCTATTATTTAGAATAACTATTATTTTTGTCACGATAAATATGTTATTTTTAATAAATAATCAATAACCAATTGTAAACAAAATTTATATCTTTGATTCTCTAAATTAATTCATACATTTTTGTAATATGGTTGCAGCATATTTACTTATCTTCTGTAAATAACCTATATTCAACCAACTATTTCCTAATATTTCTATATTCTTTTTTAGATGAAATTTGAATATTAAACTAATTTTTAGTTGTAATCTTTTAAATTCCAAAAAATCAGGAAAGAAAATTATATCTAATAAAGATCCAACAACAATAAAATCATATAATCGTAATCTTTTTCCAATATTCAAGCATATAACTTTAACAAAACGTGAAATCCAAAATTTTGAAACACCTCATTCGTCTTCTTAATGTTCAATTGTTTTTCTGCGATTTTTTTTTCATTAAGCTTACATCAAACTGCTTCGTTAAAGTTGTTAATCCTCATTCCAGTTCTACCTGCAAGATTTCCATATCCATATGTCAGGTTAGTATTATCAGTTAGATCACTTTGTTTTTCTCTATGAATTATGGTTGAAATTTACAACAATAATCAATATGCTGGAATAGATGTTTTTCTAATTGTAAAAATATAATCTTGAATAGATACATAAGATCAATAAGCCAATTTATAATCATCACGATTATCGTGTATCACACAATTTTACCTTCATTGATTCCATGGAGATCTAGGGTTTAAACCCCTGATATCATCCGAACCCACGATTGGTTGAAATTGGGGAAACAGTAGATTTAAATCGAATAAACCCTAGGTTGGAAATGAGGATGATGAGCATGATGCTAACATTTTTAATAAACAAATTAATAAAGGTAACTTTTTAAATACATTACTTTATTATCATTATTTTATTTAATTCTAACTAACTTCAATTGTATTATATAAACATATTATATACATAATTTCACATTTCATTTCCTAACCTATGTCTTCTTATGCAGAAACAACAGTAACATGTACCACATGCAGGCCAAAGAGAAAAGAAGACAAAGAAAAATATTATTTGGAAAATAAAAGATCGAAGAAAATAAAAACAATACCAA